TAGGCCTTAGCATGCTCTCCAATATAGTTGAATTTGAAAGTGATTGGAGGTGTTTTGAAAATTAGTAATTATTAATTAATTTGATTAATTAATTTGCCCTGAGTGCACTATTCACTCTATTTAAATTCCGACTTGATATTTTTGATTTACATGCCATATAGCTTCACATATATTTGATTTGGAATATTTGGTTAGGTTTTGAAACCTTTTATTTAATTAAATTCCATGTTTAAGATTAATCATCATGGTGATATACAACTTGAAATTGAAGTGTGGCATGTTAGAAAATTAAGCTTAGGTATAGTTATTCACATATATTAAATTGGGATTAATTGTATGAGAATTGTAACTTTTAATTATATTTTACTTTAGTGAAAGGTTAAGTCACATGGTCTTAAATTGAATGAAATAAATTTGTAATGTGATATTAAATTAGTCCTTGACATATTCTCTAAGATATGTTAAATTGAGAGCATTTGATTAAGTTTGAAAATCAAGAGATTTTAATTAAAAGAATTAATTAAAATCTATTTTGTGGTCCCATTAGCTTAATTAAGGTTTTAACTTGATAGTTGTATTGGCCATGACTTGTTTACTAGTATATATTAATCTGGGACTATTTGAAGTTGTTTTAGAACCTTGGAATTTAAATTAGCATGATTTAATTAAAGTTCTACTTTGTTGTTCTAACAACCTAATTGAGTTTTAGAATGGATATAGGTGATGACCTTGTCATGCCCTTTAACATGTATTAAATTGAGGTTAATTGAAATTGAATCGGAAATCTAAAGAATTTAATTGTGTTTATCTATTTAAATTCTATCAATTTGCTCCATGATCTAGTTGTGTTTTAGAAGTGATTTCTATATTCAAATCATGGACTTAAACTTGTTGTATATTCATTTGGTTATGTTTTGAACATTGGATAGCATAGTTGCTATGTTTGCATTCGTGATAATATGTTTTCCTTATTGAATATATTGTTGCCTTGTGTAATGATTCGCACATTTCATATTTAACATCTTTCATGCATAACGTGTAACGAATCGCACACTGAAGATTCGACATTCATCATATCATATTAGTTGTGGATTTAGAGCATGTATTGTATAGGTTTCCAAATTTGGATGTGCTTGGTAGATAGTTGATTATCTTGCATATTCTTGTTGATATATGCGTTGTTGCATAACTTGTTGATTTTGGAAACTTAGGGATGTTGTTGTTTGACTATGGCTAGGATGTGGTTCTAGTACGGGGGATAGTCCCTCTATATAGTCTAGTGCGCACATAGGGAGGTTACCCATGGGCTAGTAACCCTAAAGTAACTATGTTGTCGGTCTGATCCGGCGTGACGTCCGAGTATCCACTTTGTTTGATTTCGCATTTCATTTTCAAGTTGATAACTAGATGATGTTGTAACTTGTTGTTTCTTATTTGTCGTTCCATTTTAAGTTACAGGATGTTAACTTTGTGAAATTGTGCTTTATACGTTGTATTGGAAGTTCCAATGTTGGTTAAATTGCATCGATATTGAAAATCGTGTTTTGATATTCTCATAAAGCTTAGGATTGATCCTATTGATTTATTTATAACATAGACGTTAAGTGGCATGAACCACTACTGTTATTTTGTGCTTTAGATTCTAAGTTGATGGCTTTGAGAACTTAAACCTTATTGCATTGTATAATATGCTCTTTTGTTGTTGAATTGTATAGATAATGTGATTCTTGTTAATTTGTATTCAAATATGCTTTTGTCATGTTGTATGGATTACTCTAGACCTAGTTTAATTGTATTGAAAATGCAATTCATGTTAATCTATGCTCAAGCATTCTTCTTGTCGTGTTCTTTGGATTATCCTAACCATGATTCGTTTCATACACGTATGTATATCATGATTCTTGTTGCTTAGACTCTAAGGTAGCTTAGGATGCTCCCCAAGTCTCACTTAGACATAGACGTTAGGTGGCATGAGCCCCTTTAACATGTTTCACCTTAAGGTGATAAATTTGTAAAATGCTAGGTCGATGCATGCTCATCTCCTACGAGTAGCTTTATATTACTCACCCCTACGATACTAAGGCATATTTCAGGTACAAAGACTTGGTTCGTGACACCTAGCATTCCTTGGATGTCGTATAGCTTTCAAGTTTCCATTTCATGCAAATGTTAGTATGAAATGTCATTTTGTAGACTTATATGTCAAAATATGTATATTTGATTCCATGTATGTAATATGTACTTAAGTACACTTCTTTCACTGTATTTGATATGTATGAGATGAGGCCGGAGGCCAATGACCATTATATTGTATTCTATGTACTTTTTAACTTCATGAAATATTGTGAAAATCTTGAAAAATCGCAAGTCAATGCTTCACCATGGTTGCATCGGGTGTGGGAATTCTATTCTCATTCTTTCATAGGGTCTTATTAATCTTATATGAAGTGTGGCCAAGGACCAAACGGTCATTTGACTCCATTTTGTATTTTTAGATTCCGAGTTTTCATTCCAAGTTCCATTTTTGCCTTTTTGCCCATTGGGGGGTCAGATTTTGTATCGGTGGTATTTTTAAGTCGTGAACCATTGTAGCACTTCCAAATAGGTAAGTTACATTTGCGTGCATAGTCGTTTCCGGGCAAAACCTTATCATTTGTGTTTTGAGCCTCTTGTGAATTCATTTTGCATTTTTTTTGCATATTCTGATCTAGGGGCATTATGGACCTTTTACGGTAGTTTTATTTTCTTCTTTCAACATGGTTGAATAGAAAACATGATTTTAGGGGGGGGGGGGGTTTCTTTTCCGTATTTTTCCAGAAAATGTTGTCTTGGCATTGGAAATCGCTTACGAAGTTCAGCTTTCAGTTTTCTATATAGCAGCTTTTTCGACCCTCTGGACCAGATTTCTTGGGAGGGAATTTTGGGTATTTTACATTGCTTTTTTTTTTTTTAATTATTTGTGAGTCATGTAGAAAACTCAATTTTGAGGGGGATTTATTCTTTGTGTTTTTGCAAAAAAATTCATCCAGGCCTCCAAATTCAGCCTCTGTTCTGGATTTTTCTGGAAAATAAGCACATAGCAGCTTTTGGGCTGCTGGCAGCCGTGTGTGCGCCCAGCGCGCGCGGGGCGTGCATGGGTGTGCGCATGGGGGGCTGTCATGGCCCCCTCATTGGGCCGCCGCGACGTCAATTCTTCTTTTGGGCTTTTCTCCTTCGTCCGGACTCCGATTCAAGTGAATTTTTTTTTGAACTTGACTAATTTTTCGCTGTTTTTCCAACAGTGTGCTCGGTTGCACCCAGTTCTTCCTGGATAATTACCTATTTACCCTTTTTACCTTAAGTGCTCGTTTTTCTTCGTCATGCCATTTCTCCTTCGTCCGGATTCTGAATCACGCGATTCTTGAGTCCATCTTGATTAGTTTTTCATTGTCCTTCCAGCGGTGTGCTCAGTGGCACCCGAATCTACATTTTTCATAAATGACTATTTTGCCCCTGGGGGCTTATTTGTCATATTTTCGATCTTTGGCTTCCGCATCAGTTCTTGTTGAGTTCCACGACCTCATGGAAGGTCAATTTGACTTCTTAGGGTCTTGTTTTCTGTTTTCGCTTCCGCATATCGGATCCGTTATCGGGTCAAATCTTCGGTTCATCACAGGACATGCTGGTCTAAAAACCAGGGTCGCCACAATACACGTCCTAAACCAGTTGACGTGTGATGTATACACGTTGATCGGTTCCTGTTCCATACATTTTTTATTTAGTTTCCCTAATTATTCCTTACCACCTATCTAAAGTTGTGAGTATTTACTTTATGACCCAAATAAAATACATTAATTATATTTTAACTACGGAAATGATTGTTTGGCCCCTGAATTTTTACCTTAATTATTACGCGACACAAGTAAATGACTATTATGTCCTTGGAGTCTTAAACCACTAGAAATGTGACAAATGACCATATTGTCCTTGTTGGACTCTAAAAATATAAATTTAACGTGAAAGGACCGTGTTACCCTTGGATGATTTTGGGTCGGGTAAGGACCCAATTAATGATCCGGATCCAGTGGATTTGGGTCGTTACATTCATGGCATCACATATCAAGGCACAACATTGTTATTTTTGAAATTGGATTTAACGTTGTATGCTTTCCCGGCATAGTATGATCCATATCCTCTATTTCTATTCATTGCTTGTATTCACGTGGTCACAAGAGGTGTGTCTTAGGCACCACTTACTGAGCAATTTGCTCACCCCTTATATTTAATATTTTTCAGGGCACGGATGGCAAGTGGTGGACGACGCTCCTCCACAGGGTTCGATGGGTTAGTAGACCATTTTGATATACCTTGTAGCTATAATCTTATTTTATTATTTATTTATTTGTTATTACTTATTTTTTTATAAATCCGGAATGACACGTATAATATGTATTGACGTAGGAAAAAATGGTGTTGTCCCTATCTGACCTCGGTTTCAATTAAGGACCCGGCTAATGGTTCGGACCTACGGGCTTAGGTCGTTACAGACAGTAAATTCTCTATTGTAAATCTTTTTCATAGTGAATTTCGAGAATTACAAATTTGGATAATTGCGACCATTCGTGTTACATCCGCGCAGGACCTCAGGTCTGGAAGTCTATTCGGGCTTGGAGAAAATGCGGAATGGACTTTTTAATTAAGCATTGCATCTCTCTAATTTGTGGAATGGCAGTCGAGTCTTTCAAAGATGGAAATATTTATGGTCAGAATCTCATATTTGCACTAAGCAATTTCTAAGACCTTGAAGAAAAACTACCCTCATGGAGATCATTGGTCACCTGGAAGCCAAAAGTCCACCAAAAGTATCCCATCCCCCACGTAATATTGTTGCACTAATGAACCAAATTAACCAAGTAACTAGGGATATTGAAAATAGTTGTCTACATATTACTCCCAAAATTGTTTGTATAATAGCTTTCTCTGTTGTTGTAATTCAATAAGCTGTTGTTTATTCTCAACAGTATAGTACTTGGGCCATGAGCATGGGGAAACACCAATCATTTGTTCCCTATGCTGCTGTTCTCCTCTTGTGCATGCACATGCCTTTGTTATATAATGCTTCTCCCACCACCCCCATGTTTGAAAGACGCGAGGCAGATCGGCTAGCATTGCTTGACATCAAGGCGAAGATGACTGATGATCTTATGCTGCAGGTCACTAGTTCATGGAATGACTATCTCTATTTCTGCCAATGGCATGGTGTTTCATGTGGCTGCCGCCATCAAAGAGTCACCGTCTTGAACTTGCAATCCTCCAATTTGGTTGATTCCATATCACCTTCCATTGGAAACCTTAGTTTCCTCAGAATTATAAATCTCTCAAACAACACCATCCACGTACGAATCCCTCATGAAATCGGTTTATTATTTAGGCTGCAAATTCTGAATTTGGCCAACAACTCATTGGAGCAACAAATTCCAGCCAGCCTCTCACTCTGTTCTAACCTGAGAGTTCTTGCTATAGGAAACATCAAGCTCATAGGGAAACTTCCGGTGGAGCTTGGGTCCTTGTCTAAGCTGGTGACCCTACACGTCTTGTCCAACAATTTGACAGGAGCCATCCTACCTTCTTTTGGGAACCTTTCATCTCTTGAAGCTCTTCAAATGGGAAACAATATACTTGAAGGAAGTATCCCTGACTCGCTAGGCCAACTGAAAAGTTTAACACTTATTGTGATAGAGGGGAATGAGCTATCTGGTTAGATCCCACCATCTATCTATAGTCTCTCAACACTTACTGCGTTCACTGCAGCGAATAATCAACTTGAAGGAAGTCTTCCTCAGAATTTAGGACTCACTCTTCCTAATCTTCGACGACTTAGTATTTGGGAAAACAAATTTAATGGATTCATTCCAGCTTCACTGTCAAATGCTTCAAATCTTGAATTGCTAGAAATCTCTATGAACAGATTTTCTCGTGGGATGTCTATCAAATTTGGAAAACTAAAGGTCCTGCACTGGCTTGGTATGTATGACACTCTTGAGGGGAGTGGGAAAGCCAATGACCTGAATTTCATCTTATCTTTGACTAATTGTACCAAATTGAGATTGTTATTTCTAGGCAGCAATAATTTTGTAGGGGCGTTGCCTAGTTCCATAGCCAGCCTGTCAAACAAACTCGAATATTTTTCAATGGGAGGAAATGGAATATCTGGAAATATTCCAACAGGCATTGCAAATCTCCAAAGCATCAGGTTTCTAAATATGCATCACAATCAATTAGAAGGAAATATTCCAGCCTCTATTGGACTACTTCATAAAGTACAAGAAATGGGTTTTGGTAACAACGAACTGTCAGGGGAAATCCCTTCCTCCATAGGAAATCCAACTCTATTAAACCTACTCTGGTTAGAAGAAAATCATTTTCAAGGAAGCATACCTTCGGCTCTCGAAAATTGCAAGCGTTTTGCATCTATATGACAACAAACTGAGTGGTACCATACCTCCAGAAGTTAACGGTTTGTGATCTTTAGCAAGATCCCTGAACCTTGCTCAAAACCATCTCAGCTGTCCCCTGCCTTTAGAAGTGGGTAACTTGAAAAATCTTGCTGAATTAGATGTTTCCCACAATGAGTAATCAGGTGAAATTCCTAGCAGTCTTGGTAGCTGTTCAAGTTTCATACGCCTTCTCATGCACTATAATTCCTTTGAAGGAGCCATTCTAGGGTCTTTGAGTTCTCTGAAAGCCATTGAAGAATTGGACCTTTCACACAACAACCTCTCCGGTGAAATTCCAAAAGATCTAGGGATCATTCGCTTGTTGCGGAATTTAAATCTTTCTTTCAATGATCTTAAGGGTGAGGTACCTACAAGAGGAGTTTTAGTGAATGCAAGTGCGATTTCAATCTATGGAAACAAAAGGCTTTATGGAGGCGTACCTGCATGACAGTTGCCAGTATGCTCTACTGATAAACCAGGGAAGAAGAAAACATCCCTTTTTCTCAAGGTAATAATCCCTACATCTTGTGTAGTTATAGGGATTATTTTAATATTTTTTCTACTCCTTGTCAAGAAGAGAAAGCAACAACGCCAATCTTCGTTTTCGGTATTAGAATTCATGCCAAATGGGAGTCTTGAGACTTGGTTGCATCCAGTACTTCCAGAAATAGGTCACACCTGATCATCAAGAGCCAAAGAGGTTGAACCTTCTTCAGCGATTAAATGTAGCTATTGATGTGGCTTCTGCTTTGGATTATCTTCATAATCATTGCCAAATGCCAATTGTTATGAAAAAGGATCGAATAGGAGTTTATAAGAACAAGAGGAAAATAAATGACAAGAAAATAAATAGCCACACACACAAACGAGACAAGAATTTACGTGGTTTGGCTATGCCTACATCTACGGGGAGAAGACAGAACAATATTTCACTATGGAAATTAAGAGATACAAGGCAAAGTGGCTCACACCCAAAACCCAATTACATCAAAACTCTCTCACCCACTAACTGATATTACAAACTCACTCAATTGATTTGGGATGCTTCAACACCATGGAGGGCAAGGCTATTTATAGCCAAAATGGGACACCAAAATGAGGCTACTTGGTGACCACTCAAAAGACTTGCTGGGCACACATTCTTGGAGGCCAAGAATAAAGCTTAATGAACACATATACTTGGAGGCCAAGAAGATGATGTCATGGGTGATGCAAGCCTCAAATTGAGCCACATGTTCAACACCAATCATTCATTGCGATCTAAAGCCAAGCAACATTCTTCTTGATAGCGACATGATTGCGTGCCTGGGTGATTTTGGTTTGGCAAGGTTCCTACAGCAACATCACAATGAATCTTCTCAAAATCAAACCAACACCTTGATGGGTGCTTAGCCGTCCTACACTATAAGCTTAAGAGTGTGCATTAAGGCGAGGGCCAAGAGTTTTACATTTATAGAAGCCACTACTACCTTTCACAATAAATATAGCTAGGGCGAGTAGGGATCGTCCCAAGGGGTTGGAGCCGTACTTGATTGTGGAATCGCAATTAGGGTTAGTAGGTCGAGTGATCAAACAAATGGTTGGTTGGTTAATTAAGCTAGAGAGAAACTAAGTTAAACTAAGTAATTGAATGTAACAAAGAGTAAGTAAGAGAGAGAGAAATCTTGGGGTTTAGAGGTCACCACCAAGCAATGCTTTTTTACACTTCTAACTAGTGACTAATGAGGGTAATGTGTGTTGCAATATTGGTGAGTGTGTGTGTTTGGTTGATTCAATTAGAAAGGGTGACCAATTAAGCATACATTGTCTAATCAACAAGTGAAAAGCACAATATATCTAGCAATTAAGTATATATTGTCTAAATAGCATGTGAAAAGCACAACATATCTAGCAAGTCATTAATCCTTTCATTAAGCTCACAAGCCAAATACACCACAAGGTTAGAGACATATGGTACTTGCATTCAAAAGTATGAAACATCTAACAACTAGCATAGATTGTCATCTCATCTAACAACTATGCTATCACTACACTACAATTAAACTAATAACATGAAATTAAACTAATTAAGCTAAGGAAAAGGCATAATCTATCAAGAAATGAGCATGGACCATCTAGAAAATCACAAGAGCATTATTTTAAGCACAATGTTTTGACAATCCCTAAATCCATAGCATTAATACACATAGACATGCATCAATAACAGAAGAAATAGAGGCAAACACATGAACATCTATTATAGTAGACATAGACATATGGATAGAATGAAATGATTAATCGGAAGCATTAAACCACATAAATCATTGAATAAACAAGATCTATATATATCAAAGTGTCAAAACATTAATTACAACACTAATCCCTCAATAATACATAAGATTAAGATATAGAAAGCATGCTTGGGGCTAACTCTAGCCCCAAGAGGATGTTTAGCCACTCATGGTGATGTTGCTCCAACCTTCAAGGGCTAACTCCATGTAAGAGATTTGCTCCTTGGTTGATGAAGAGTCTCCAATGGTATCTCTAGCCTCCTCTTCCATGCTAAGCTTGCTCTCCAAGAGATAATATGAAAATGATATTGGCTCCCCCTTATAAAAAGCAATCCTTATCCTTCTATAGGTAGGTCAAATGACACCCAAAATATGCTGGGGTCGTGCACACAATATTCCCTAATGATTGCATAAAGGACAACTTTCAATGAGATGAAAATTTAACTTTTTCGCACTGGAGGAAGTTCGATCGATCGAACCTTGGACTTGGATCGATCGAACTGGCTGAGATCCATCGAACTTAGGCTGGATCGATCCAACTGGTTGAGCTTTTTGGGAAAAGACAAATCCGAGATATTTTGGGAGATATTTTTGGGAAAAGGACAAAAGTGGTTAGTGGGTGGTACAGCTGTGGATAGGATCAATCATTTGAATAAGGACAAAAGTGTTCGATCGATTGAAGGGTGGTGTTGGATCGATTAAACTTTTGGACTTTATGCTTTTGGGCCAAGACTTAGATCTATCTTGAAGTGCTGAGATCGATCATTGTTCGATCGATCGAACCTTGAAGTTGGATCGATCGAACTTTGCTGCTTCCCACCTTTGGCTTCATTTGCTTATTTCTTTCTCCACTTTGTTCCTTTCTTTGTTTAATCCCAGAATTGCTTCAATTAAGCTCTTATTTGGCTGAGTTAGATTATTTTCAGGATAAGTGCCTGAAAATGGAAATAATACGAAATCAATCTAAAATGGTAAAGTAAGATAGATAAAGGTGCTAGAATGCTTAAGCTTAAGGGGTTTAAATATGCACTTTTCAGCGCTCATCACACCCCCAAACTTAAATATTACTAGTCCCCAGTAATGAACTAGAAAGTAAATGAATGATATGAATAACTATACAACTACAAGCTACAAAACAATAAATGGATAACGTTACTTTCGTAGGGAACACAATTGCACTTAGCACATGCAACAAGCCTTTTAAACCCCTAGGTTACCCCTAATGGATGAGTGAAGTCTCGTGAGGGTTTGCAGAAATGATACCCACAAACATTAAGCTCATTCTTTCTAAAGAGACACTAATATTGCAAACAAGCATTAGGAGAAAACTACCTCAAGTATGCAATTTTTCAAACATTTCCAAGCAATCTCCCAAAATCTCAACATCAAGCAAATAAGTATGGTCCTCCACACATCAAGAAATGATCATGCAAATAAAAACAACTCTAGAATTCTTTTTGAGTGGACTGGCATCAATTATGTTGCTATCTTAGCCAACTAAAGAGATGATCACATCCTTACCCTCAAATTAGCACACAAATCTAGTACCGAACATCAAAACAAAAAGTGGACCTTTTATTAAAGCTTTACTGTTCTAAGTGTGCTTATTCTTTTCACTCGATTTTTTATTTTTTATTTTTATTTTTTATAGGATCAAAGATGGAAGCATGGTACAATGTGTTGATCTATTAAGCTTTCTAGTGATTCATGAGGTCGAGAGTTAGGTCAATGACTCCCAAACCAAATGGCTTTAGGGCATTAGGCATTCAAATACCCCTACGGACTTACAAGCTCAAATCAACTAGGCTACAAATCAAGACAACAACCATCTAATCATTTCCCACTTCTCACCTTTTGGGAGAAGTTCTCACTTTTGATTGCTTTTGTTTTTGCTTTTTTTTTTTTTTTTTTTTTTTTTTTTGAATTCAATTATTAACCTAGAGTTTGGGCCCTCCACCTTTCGGCGTGAGAAGTTCAATGCTTGATGAGGCTAGAATCCCGGTTACTTAGTGAAAAGGGGTTGTTATCCACCTTTATCAAGAATGAAAGCTTTCAATGCATTACTAGCCCAATTGGGATATAACCAATTCAATAATCAACAAAGCATGTACCCCACAAATGAATGCCAGTGTGCGCCGATGCTAGTATAGAATATTAGAATGAATCTCAAAGCAATCACAAAATCAAGATGATGTGGACCACAAGTGCAAGCAAGATATCAATCTTGCGAAAAATTTACTCCTAAATGGTATCCATAAGGCATACAAGGAGTATTGGACTCTCAAGTCAAGTAATTTTTAAATTTTAAGCAATATAGTCCTCAAAAGATCAAGATCATAGCTAGATGTGGACCAATCATAGAAATATCCCTCAAATACACAAGTCATGCTCAAAATTTTGAATTTAAAACTAATACTGTAAAACACCATTCCCCCCAAACTTAAATGGCACAATGTCCTCAATGTGTAAAGAGAACAATGGAAAGAGTATACTAGTGCAACTAAGGCATAGAATGATCGGGACTGAAGGATCCGAAGTGGGTGGCATGGCACCCCCCAAACTTAGGATGAACTGTGGTCCTGAAAATTGGCACTTGGATAAACTCATCAGATGACAAAACGGGATAATTAGTGCACAGTGGATATGCAAGTGTAAATGGGATAAACTAATAAAGAGATGAGAGAGGTATAAGGGTGGTCCTGAAAATCGGGTAGCATTCTCTCACTGAAGTCACTGTGATGCACCTGATGGAGTTAAAAGGACAGATGTATCAATAAAAGCATATGACATCCATTATAGATAAAAATAACAATAAAGCGCAATACATCCAGTGTAAAAGCCGACAGACCCGGTTACAAAAATAATAGTGTCACAAGTGTAGCAGACACATAACATAGATAGAGAACATAAAAAGATAAAGAGACTGGGAGTCTCAGGCAGAAGGAACTCCGCGGATCTCCCTGGCTAAGTCATCAATGGCAGTCAAGATCTCCGTACGGAGGCGAGCAATGTCAGTTTTAATGGCAGCCATCATATTCAGACGAAGGGTGGCAATGTCAGCTCTAAGGGCAACCAGCATATCCTCCAAACTCTGAAGGTGCTCCTCTAAGCGACATATCTGATCATGAGCCTCAGGTGTGGCTGAAGTAAAAGAACTGTCATTCTTAGTCATGGTCTGCAAAAAGGAAATCTTGCAATGAGATTAAGTGCTAGAATAATGAATTGAAGGCACAATAGAAACATGTTTGTCAAATAGGATAGACAAAACATATATGACATGAATTTATGCAAGTGATATGATATGAAGTATGCTAAGCAATATAAGGATGAAATGCATCCAATGTGAAATATCACAGGCATTGAGCATAGATATGATAGCATGAAGTGAATACAAGATGAATGAAGTGTGTGTATAAGATATGTGAAATTCGATCGATCAGAAAAACAAGTGAGATCGATCACAAAAGTTGGATCGATCGAAAATAAGTGAGATCAATCTCACAACTTCGATCGATCTGAGACACAAGTTCAATCGATCAAACTATGTTCTGTGAAAAACCAGAAGTCACAGATCTGTGACTGTGGGAGCACGGGACCCACACGAACATATTTGTGGGCCCATCAACACAACAATCATCAATCCCAATCACCTAGAATGGCTCACACTCCCAAAAATTAAAGTAACTCATTACAATGGATATGGCATAAAGACGAATATGGACATATAGACATGAAAAGCTTAAAACTTCATCCATGGCCAACAATCATCATGAATATTGGAACGGATCAAACACTTAAAGCATACTCTTAACAAATCGAGGTGTGAAATCAATAATGGGGTCTCGGATCTTACCTTGAAGCAAAGAGAGGAGAGATGAAATGCGAAGAGGAAGAAGATTCGAGAAGGGGGAGAGTTCGACACCTGGTTCACTCTGGAGACCTCGCCGGAGATGAAGGAAATGGGTGAGGTTACGGCGGCGTAGGAACTAGGGTTTGGAAATGAGGGAGAATGAGATCTTATCCTCTATTTAAAAACTGTCGCTCATAAGTTCGATCGATCGAACTAGAATCTCAGATCGATCGAACTTTAAATGATCTCTTCACAAAGTATTTTGGAATTTTTTTTTTTTTTTTTGTAAGCAAGATGAACTGAAATAAAAATAAAATAAAAAAAATGAAAATATTTTTGGATTTTCGAAATTTGAAAAGTCAAAACAAAGTCAAAATAATGAAATGAAGAACTGAGATCGATCGAAACAAGAGTTCGATCGATTAGACATAGAGCAAAAATATGCAGGTTTTTGGTTCAAAAATTTGCCTAAGTGTTGAATCATGAGATCGATCGAACTTGGAAGTTGGATCGATCGAAGGTCTCTTGATCGATCTAAGAATTGGTTCGAATGATGGGACAGAGAGGTGATTGGGATGCAGGTTTCTGCAGGTTGAAAATTTTTCTAAGTGTTCGATGCAGAGTGGAGTTCGATCGATCGAACTCAGGTTTGAGATCGATCGAACTATGCAGAATGCTCAATAATGACATGAAAGCTCATGCAACCCTCACCAAAGTTCCTTTCAATGCATATAAGAACCAAAAACAAGTATCTAGACTTCGCAAGAAATGAAATTTAAGATAGAAATGGGGGAGGAATAGGGTTTTGACACCCTACGAATGCCTTTGCTAGTCGTTAACATCTCTAGCAAGACGTTGGGCTCTTTTAGCCCAGATCAAAGATCTTGTTATGCATCCCCTCCTTATTGGGGTGATGAATGGTTCTTTGAACTTTTCCCAACAAATGGTTCTTTGAAGAACTTGTTGGTTTAAGCTCAAAAGGAGCTTTTGGTTCCTTGTCAATGCAATATTCTATGTGCTCATACACCGGGTCAACTAGATGTGCAGCTTCCAAATGTCTTTAAAAGACTTGACCTTCTATGTAAGGTTTTAACCTTTGACTATTAACTTTGAAAATGTTCCCCTTCTTCAAGTTTTTAATTTCAATCGCCCCATGAGGTGCAACAGAGATGATTTCATAAGGACCCTCCCATTTGGTTCTCAATTTCCCAGGAAAGAGTTTCAGTCTAGAGTTAAAAAGCCAAGCTTTTTAACCGGGTTCTAAAAACTTTTTCACATTATACTTATCATGAAAGGCTTTAGTTCATTCTTTGTAGATTTTGGCATTATCATAACCATTGTGTCTCAACTCTTCTAATTCACTCAATTGAAGTAGCATATTCTCTCCAGCTTTATCAAGGTCAAAATTGAGCTTTTTAACTGCCCATAAGGCTTTATGCTCTAACTCAACCGGAAGATGGCAAGGCTGTCCATTTACAAGTCTATAAGGAGACATGCCAATGGGAGTCTTATATGCCGTCCGATAAGCCCACAAAGCATTATTTAGCTTTCTTAAAAAATACTTACGGGTGGTGTTAACCGTTTTCTCAAGAATATACTTAATTTCCTGGTTAGACACTTCAACTTGCCTGCTTGTTTGAGGATGGTAGGGAGTGGCTACCTTATGAGTGACGGAGTACTTAAAAAATAAGTACCTCAAGAATTGATTGCAAAAATGTTTTCCTTCATCACTTATTATAGCCCTTGGCATACCAAAATGAGTAAAGATATTGGATTTAATGAATTGAATGACCACGGAGTGGTTATTCGTTTTGGTAGCACATGCTTCCACCCACTTGGAAACATAATCGACAGCAAGAAGAATGTATTGAAAACCATAGGACATAGGAAATGGACCCATAAAATCAACGCCCCATATATCAAAGATCTCAACAACAAGTATACTGGTCAAGGGTATTATATCTCTTCTAGACATTGTCCCCATCTTTTGACATCTCTCACATGATTTGCAAAAATTGTAGGCTCTATGAATAGTGGGCCAAAAGAGCCCACTTTGAAGAACCTTCAAAGCGGTCTTCTTTGCACTAAAATGCCCACCCCATGCAAGAGTGTGACAAAACACTAGGACACTTGGAATTTCACTCTCTGGAATGCATCTTCTCACAATTTGATCCGGACAATATCGGTATAAGACAGGGTCTTCCCAATAGTAATTCAGGATGTTGGCAAAGAAATGATTCTTTTCGTTCTTCGACCAAGAAGTTGGTAGCTTGCCTACTGCCAAATAATTCACAATGTCGGCAAACCAAGGCATTTTTCCATTAGAAATTTGAAATTGTTGTTCATCCGGAAAAGAGTCACAGATTGGTAGACTGGGGAAAAGCTCTATCGATAACCTAGAAAGATGATCAGCAACCACATTTTCGGTGCCTTTCTTGTCCTTGATTTCAAAATCGAATTCCTGAAGAAGCAAAATCCATCTAATTAGCCTAGGTTTTGTTTCCTTTTTTGTCAATAGATGCCTCAAGGTGGCATGATCAGAATAAATAACAACCTTGGACCCTAAGAGATAAGAACGAAATTTATCAAGAGCATATACTAAGGCAAGTAATTCTTTCTCGGTAGTGGAGTAATTCAATTGAGCTCCCGAGAAAGTTTTACTTACATAGTATATGGCACAAGGAAGCTTACCCACTTTTTGTCCCAAAATTGCCCCCATGGCATAATCAGAAGCATCACACATGATTTCAAATGGCAATGACCAATTGGGAGGTTGCATGATAGGAGCAGATGATAATAATTCACGCAATTTATGAAAAGCGTCTGGGCATGCTTGGTCAAAGACAAAAGGAGTTTCCTTGGCAAGAAGGTTGCACAAAGGTCGAGCAATTTTGCTAAAGTCTTTGATGAAACGGCGGTAAAAGTCAGCATGACCTAGAAAGGAGTGAACCTCTTTCATCATTGAAGGTGGAGGCAATTCAGAAATAAGCTTGACCTTCGCTTTATCAACCTCTATTCCTCTCCTTGAGATAACGTGACCCAAAACAATAACCTCTTGAACCATGAAATGGCTCTTTTCCCAGCCAAGTACAAGGTTGGTTTCACAACATCTCTTAAGCACTAGATCTAACTTTTTGAGGCATGCATCAAATGAGGACCCAAAAATCATCCATGAAAACCTCTAGATACTTTTCCACCATATCCGAGAAAATTGACATCATACACCTTTGGAATGTGGCGGGTGCATTGCACAAACCAAAAGGCATCCGTCTATAAGCAAATGTGCCGAATAGACATGTAAATGTGGTTTTCTCTTGGTCTAATGGGTCGAGGGCTACTTGATTGTACCCTGAATAGCCATCAAGGAAGCAATAATATTGTTACCCAGCCAATCTCACTAGAATTTGATCAATGAATGGTAAAGGGAAGTGATCCTTTCTAGTGGAAACATTTAATTTATGGTAATCAATGCATACACGCCATGAATTGGCGGTACGCTTAGAGATTTCCTCACCCTTTGCATTCTCAACCACCATAATCCCCAATTTTTTTGGGAACTACTTGAGTTGGACTCACCCATTTGCTATCGGAGATTGGGTAAATGATTCCGGCATCCAAGAGTTTGACAACTTCCTTTTTAACTACCTCATTCATGTTTGGATTAAGTCTCCTTTGGGCATCCCTAAAGGGTTTTGTATCATCTTCCATAAATATGCGATACATACAAATAGAAGGGTCAATTCCCTTAAGATCCGCCACACTCTATCCTATGGCTTCCTTATTTTCTGTAAGCACATTTAAGAGAGCATCTTCTTGGTCTTTTTCAAGACTTGAAGAAATGATAACCGGAAGAGTCTCTTTTGGTCCTAAAAATGCATATTTGAGATTGGAAGGTAGAGTTTTAAGCTCAAGAATTGGTGGAGAGACTAAAGATGAGACCAGTGGAGTACTAGAGAGTGGAGGAAGAGGTTCTATTGGAGTTTTCCAAGATGGAAAATCTAAGCTTGCAACAGATTCCATGAGATTGCTTACTTCATTCATTGAATTTTCATCATCAAATCCACAACTTCCATGCATTTCAAGAAGGCAAGAAGCTAGAAGATCATCGGATAAAAGAGATTAAAGACTATCCTCAATTGGTTATTTCATTAACATCGTTGGAATTGATTCCTCAACAACCTCATCTAATACATCAACAAGGCAACACTCATCTTTATCTATAGGATGTCAACTTGCATGGAAAACATTAAGTTTGATCATCATATTGCCAAAAGAAAGATCCATAATCCCGAATCTACAATTAATTGTTACATTTGCGGTGGCAA